TTTGAATTTCAAACGCTCATAAAAATTTAATTTGACCTTCTTATAGAATTTTTTTTTTTTGATAAAGGTAGATAATCTTATACGGAATCTTGTATTACATTTTAAAACCTTAGATTTAAAAAGAAAAATTTTTACGAATTCTTAACTCAAAATAATTTGCTAATTTTCATGATTTTTCCATATTTTATCAATTTTTGAACTTCAAATGCTTATAAAAAAAAATCTGTGACTAAGGATTTTCAATATTTTTCATCTGCCTTTGAAACAATATAGTAGGAGCCTTCTATTAAATTTTCAAGATTTTTTAACCAACAAATAAAATTTTATTGATATTTCTAGAAAAAAAACTAAAAAAAAATGAAAAACGAAAATGTCCCTAAACAGTTCAAAATAAATCAAAACATAATAATACGTGAGCTGCAGCCCTCTTAAATAGTTTTTTTTTAAATTACTGTCTCTAAAATATTTTACGCTTGTGCAAAAAAACATGAAAATGTAATACAACGTTACTGATAAGTTGTTATTTAATTTAGTGGAATTTAAATAAAAACGCTGAGAGTGAATTCACAATAATTAATTTGAGTTTTACGAGTTAGAAATTCATAAACAATGTTCTATTTATATTTGAAAAGTAATATAAGATTCTCCTTAAGTTTTACTACTTTTAACATTAAAAAATTCTATACAGGAAAGTAAATTTCCATTTTTACGAGCGTTTGAAGTTATATTTACCTACATTGGATATTCAAATACTAATAACACTAGATATATACTTCTAATTTACACTAAATATTTATTTTATAAATCACTATACTTGATAACATTTTCTAAATATTTTGAAGCGTTTTGATAAATTTTTTTTTTTTTTGCAAATTTTTTTTTTCCATAAATTCTCAATAAAATATTTTGTGGTAGTCCAAAAAACATGAAAATGTAATACAAAGTTACTCATAATATAAAATATCCTAGGCTGACAAACCGTCTCCTCTCAGAATCGTTTTTCGTATACAATGAGTAATGACATTTTATCATTGAATTCAAATTAACACCATCCATTACGACACCCACTTTTTAATTTTGTATGTACCTATAATAAAATATAATTTCACCGATACCTTTTTAATCAGAAAAAATTATTTTTACGCTTGATTCTAGTTTCATCCCAAGATATTTACTCTACATTTTACTTGAGCTTTATTAAAAATATTCCAATTTTTTTATTAATTTATAACATGTTAAACCAATGTTAATCAGTTGAAGACTTCTTTTTTTAAAGTTTTGTCGAATACTTCTAAGGGCATTCGAACGGCGAATGGTTTGGTATTAAAAGAAAGACAAATTAAATACAAGTTAAATATCATTCCTTTCATTAAAACTGGGAGATAAAAACTCTAAAATTACAAGAACTCCAACGTATCCAATCTTAATTGATTTTCATACACTTTTGTCATGAAATATGTAAGATGTATTATAAAATACATTTTTAAATGAATTAATAACAATAAATAAAAATATATTCTTTAATTTAGCATCATTAAAAATGAGATGGGCACTTTCCCCCTCTACCTCTATCATCTTAACATGACTCTGTGTGTACCTATCAATTAAACAATCAGCGATATCGTTTTTGATCACTTACCATGATCCTTCGAGAAAACTTTGTCATCATATTGTTACATTCGAGTATCAATTGTTTCCCGTAAATTGTATGCCAAAAATCACACCGTTCCCGTAGTACAATGATATAATCGGAAACGTCGATTCGTATACAGCCATAGTCTATGTGCAACTCGCATTCAACACTGGTCGATAGCGTGAGAAAATATTTCAACTTCTCTCCGTAATCAACCAATGTAGGATTTGTCTCAGAAAACTGATCGATTATCAATTTGTTTCGTTTTTCGAACATGAAACCAAATCCTGCAAACCTGAGACACATTATATAGATTTAAATAAATGACGTGATAACGTCCCATAAGGGGCATGATTTAGGTATTATGAGATAGATAAATTATAGGTACCTATAGTACTTTACTGAATTTTCACAAATTACAATGTAAATATTGGTTTTTATTTAAAAATAAAAAAACAGTTTACAAAATGTGTTTATGTATCGATATTTGATACAGTGTCACATAATAATTAGGTAAGTTTCGTATGTAGTTTGTGGGTATAAGGTAAGTTATAACTAACAACTAATAAGTAACTGCAATAACTTAGGTAGGTAATAGCCTAACCATGAACAATAAAAGATGGGAAAACAATATGATAGACAAAATAATATTATATTCTCATTAATGGAGTTAATCAAATGGAGATTTATAAAAATTTTTTGTGTACAATATTAAATTTATCTTGTTAGTTAAGTTTATAGGTTAAGTATCTCTTATGGTATCACCTTGATCATTACCTACATGTTTTTTGTTAAATACTTATATTTAGAATTTGGGACTGATTTTAGATATTTAAGAAAACAAAAATAATAAATATAATATACCTATAGGTAGGTATAACATTTTATTAGGTATAGAATATTTTATAAATAATTGACTGAATTAAAATATTTAAAACTAAACTTTATTATTGAATCATTAAAAAAAATACTAGTAGGTATACCACTCAATTGACTTCAAACGTATACCTCTTATACACGCTCATGGTTATAACTTTTAAAGTAAACATAATAAGTTATTAAATGTTTGTTGATTTTTAGTCATATGTTTGAGGGCATTATTAAGTTATTCTTAATACTACTTAGGTACGTATATGAATTAGCTAGGGACGTACATTTTTTTATTTCATCAGAGTAGCTTTTTCTTCTCCAAGTGAAGCACTAGGTAAAAACATTTAATTTGTTTGGCTCGAATTTAAAACAATTTTTCATTAACTATATACATAATTAATTCTGCAAAAGTTACTTCAACCGGATAATCTACCTGTGAATTACTCATACCCACCTCATCACAGCTAACATTTTTACTCCAAGGATCAAGTTTAAATTGGATAATGCCCCCACATTAACCGAATTGTGAGCGCTTGGCTAATTCGGGTATTAACCACAACAACACATCATACCACATTGGCCTTCACAAATACACAATATTATAATATTATACCAAACCATACTTCTGTACTGCTATTTGCAACCGGTTGACAAGTACTATGATGGAACTGAAACATTCTTTTTTTATGTCGTACAAATCGTTGCATTTCGCCACGTGAGTGTAATATGTATAGGGCAAATGCGATTCATCGGTCCCCATGATATTGACGAACGGACACAGAACATTGGTGGTTCTCAGCCATCTGGGCACTGATTTTAATCGGTTCAAAGTATCGTCCATAGCCTTGACTAACGTGGTGTATATGAGATTGTTATTAGGTACGAGAGTAAATTTGTCATCGATCAGCTGTCCGTTAATCATGAAGGCCACACGGTCACCATCCAATATATTTTTATACGCCTGGCAATTGTTCCAGACCATCCTGGAATTAATTGGGTGAAGTTGAAACACATACACAAGTAATCACTAACCAGTGCACTTTAAACGCGTTTTTATTTCCCTAAACTCACTTAATAAAAGCTTCATGTAACGCATTATCGTATTTTTCATACAACAAACGCATGTGTTTGTGGCCACCAATTTCTAAATTAAAACAAGATTTTTCGATCAAATTTAGTGCCATAGCTATGTAGTTCATCGAACATGTTATAACTGACATGTTTTCGTCTCCTTGTGTAATGAACCGGTCAAACAACACCTGTGATTATAAGAAATTTTCAGGACAGTTGCTCATATCGTACATTTATAGAATCTATTAGGTATTTAAATACAAACGTAAATATTTTGAACTTCACCATTTGAATCCATATTGAAGAACTTCAGATTTTCAATTAACTCAAGTTTTTCAGAAATGATTGTTTGAAACTAAATAACATAATACCTACATGATTATTAGATATTACATTTTACATTTTTCAAAGTATTGTTTACTAATTCAATTTCGTTGTAAATTGTGTTGAATATATTTAGAGACCGCAAACAATGGTTCATGAATTTCGGTAGCTGAATTGATAAATAAGTATATCTCTTTTCAAAGCCGGGACGCATAACCTGTTTTACTTTAGAGAAGTGACGTTCCATTGCCAAAGCCTAAATTTATTGAATACAAATAAATATACACGTTCAATGTGTAAAAATTAAGTGTTTTGACTGTTGATATTTATACAAGGTTTCTAAAATGAGTAATAATTCGAAATACATTTTTTTTTTAAAAAGCAACATTATGTACACTAAAATCATTCCATTAGATTGAAAAAAGCCATACTAACAATTGGAGCATCCATTCTGCCCACTATTTCATTGTACACTTCCAGTAATGAGTCAAGCATTTTTATATTGAGTATTATCTGTTGTTGTTTTACTATTAAGTTCATAATAATAATTGGCAAATCATGACTTAAGAGATGCAGGTGTAGTGCTGTGTCAATGACAAAAAATAATTCTTTCTGAAAACCATTCAAATAGTTTAGTACGGGTTTGGCTTAGATGAGTTGTGGTTTTTACGTCGAACGTGGACACGAGTTTATTTCCGTGAAAAGTCCACAAAGTGCCTTTCATTAGACTGCCTTCAATTTTAAGGGCATATTGCAACCATTTATTAACTAAGTTACTTTCATATCTTAAGACATCTTTGCAAAACTTTCCGTATACTAATAATGTCTAACAATAAGCATGATAAGTTGAATTGATTTTAACTTCAAACAAAAGACGTACTTTGGTTTTCTGAATTTGGGGAAATTTTGGCGTCGATTCGACGACTGGAGCGGTCTTTTTCGCTCTTCGAAATAGGTCTTGCACTAAAATGACTTTACCTACTACCGGAGGCACGCCAAACACTAATTGAGGGGATTCTTTTAATGACTATAGTGATTCATACAATGTTTATTGTTTATGATTAATACATGTAAATGTTCAACAAGTATTATTTATTATTAATTAACTCACCATGAATTGTGTATTATAATTGTTAATTTCTACAACGAACTTTTCTAAAATAATCACGTACTTTGGTCGAAGTTTCTTTATTAATGTGCTCCGAATCATCATGTTCTCGAAAAATTGCAATACTTTGACATCGTTCATTGCACTGTTTGAAACCATCATTGATTGGCTAATTTTATGATAGACGTTATTTTCAAAATGATAAAGAAATTGATCCATTATTTTTTTCCAAATTTCTTCTCTATTACTATCGTACACATTGATTTCCAAATCAAAAAAAATACGAGTAATGTAATTTTTAATAAATATTTGACATTCCGAGTCATTTTTGAAAATATGACTAACTTCAGGCCTCATTAATATCAGTTCTATAATCTATGCACATGAAAAATAATATTAATCAAATACCTAGTTAAAAACATTTTAAACTTAAATATTGATACATTTAGCCATTTAGGTATATAATTTACCTTCATTATTTTGTCTAGATCACGTACAATTAAACGGACAAAATGTAATCGATGGAATAGTATGTCCTCGTCAAACTCCCAAGCCCATCGCCTAAAATAAATGGCGGATATCGCTTCAATATCCTTTTTACATTTATTATATGTCGCTTCCCATTGGTCCAAAATGTACAAGCCACCTTTGACCAAGTCTATAGCATTAGATGTTTTGTATCTGAACCAAGAATGATTTGTACATGTTTGTAAGAATTTTATTAAATAAATTACACAATTGCCTACATAACTAAATAATATTAAGATAAGCATATTATTCATCACGCAGTAGAAACCGGCGAAAGATGACAGTCAATTTATATAGCGAATCAATTTCTACCATGTGATACTAAGTAGGTACACTATTATATATCTATGATAGAATCAGGGTTTGTTGTTTATGTATAACGCGTTATAATCTAGCCTAACCTATATAGTATCTGAATTAAGTTTTAATATCTGACACGTTATTTGAGTTACACTTTGATAAGGATTTCCTAGTGATAAAATTAGGCGAATACTAGGGCACTTATTATGATAAACCGATTAGGTTTATTACAAATTCGTGGAAATCATAATATTATTATTGTTGTATGTCTAGCTAGTAGCCGGGGACACCGGTATTTCACATATTTAATTTCTATACTTTGCAATCAAACAAATATTATAGGAATTATAATGGGAAAAATGAAAATATTATTATTATTATAATATAATTAATTAATATATTTTAGATTCTGAGTGGAACGATGAATGTATTGATTTTACAATGATGTGTGTTTTTTTTTCTTTTTCTTTTTTTTTTTGTGTCTGTGTACACTATAAGCAGTTGAAGTATGCTTCGATTTTCAACTTCAATATCTTGTTCGATTGGAAAGTGAATATGGTTGGTGCATTGGGGAGGTCAAAATTAAAAATTCCCAGTTATTTTCAAAAGCGCCAAGAAAACCAAAAGAAAAATTAAGGAAAAACGGGAATTTTTAAGCAAAATCGATTTTTCACAAAATTGAATTTGGTTTTTGGTGTAACATTAAAACAAATGATCGTAGATAAATGATCGTAACATTTTCCAAATATATTGGTTTATGTTGAACTGTTTAGGGACATTTTCAGTTTCCAATTTTATTAGTTTTTTTTTTATAAATGTCAATAAAAATTTATTAGTTGGTTAAAAGAGCTTGGAAATTTAATAGAAGGCTCCTAGTATATTGTTTAAAAGGCAGATGAAATATATTAAAAATCGTTAGTCACAGTTTTTTTTTATAAGCATTTAAAGTTCAAAAATTGACAAAATATGGAAAAATCACGAAAATTAGCAAATTATTTTGAGTAAAGAATTCGTAAAAATTTTTTTTTTTAAATCTAAGATTTGAAAATCTAATACAAGATTACTCATAAGATTGTCTACCTTTATCAATAAAAAAATCTCTACCGGAAAGTCAAATTAAATTTTTATGAACGTTTGAAATTCAAATTTTTACAACATTGGATATTCACTTGATTTCTCATGTAACGATTTTCTTATTTTGTTGTAATTCAAAAACGAATAACTATAGATACATGAAAATTTCACTGAATGTTCAGATTAGCGATTCCTATACACTGTTCAAATTTGGACGAAATTACATATTAAAATCAATATTAACGATCTTTGTTTTGGTTGTAATTTAAAAATATTATTCGGGGATATATGAAACTGAAAAATCAAAATATTATGGCCTATCCATACAATCTACCATAGTATAAGGAATAAGAAATATGCTCATGATAAGACTGTGCATATTTTAAGAAATTTATTCATTAATTCCATATAATTTAATACCATAAAAAAGTATATAATATGTCTTATACCAAGACTGACATACCGTCTCTGCTCAGAATCGTTTTTCTTATACAATGATATTATATCATTGCATTCAAATTTAATACCATCCATTAAACAGCGACCCACTTGTAACCTACAGTACAGCAGAGTGACATCCACTTACCCACCTTTTTTAAATTTTTTTTTCTATGAATATCAATAAAGTTTTATCTGTTGGGCTAAAAACTGTAAAAATGTAATACAAGGCTCCTGATATATTGTTACAATATTAGTTTAATAATATTTAAAACACATAGGCACAATTTTTTTTTATAAGCATTCAAAGATCGAATTTTGATAAAATTTATCAAATTTGAAATTGAATAATTATTTTGTAGTTAAAAATGTATAAAATGTTCAACTTTTATCTCCATTATAGGTACTTTTTTTTTAATACCATAGATATGTATATAATATGTCTTAAACCTAGACTGACACACCGTCTCCTCTCAGAATCGTTTTTCTTATACAATGATATTATATCATTGAATTCAAATTTAATACCATCCATTATACAGTGACCCACTTGTAACCTACAGTACAACAGAGCACCTTTTATACATATAATATTTATTAAATGGTAAATAAATTTAACGTTTTAAAATTCATTAAAAATATAAACGTCGTTCACGTTCTATTTGCAAAGTGAGTGAGGTTCACCATATATTAACGTGAACGCTTGAACATACGTTCGTGAACGACGTTCTTTCCAAACACTGCTATTTTAGAATATAGGTATTGTATTTACTGATTTGTAACTCTACATTTTTACATTTTGAAGCATTTATCACCTGATATGAGATCAGTAAATCAGTTAAACTATTTTGATGTTATGAAATTAAACCGATGTAGGTACCTATCAATTATTATTTCGTATTTAACTTGCATATTTAGCTCTTTAAGAACTCTGAAGCTCTATAGATATATCAAAATTATTTGTATGATATTTATATTTATTTTGTAGACCTCTTTTATAACTGTTAATACATATGCAGACATTGCAGTATTGTAGTGTATCCGTATGTATTTGTATTATCATTGATTGTGAAAACTCAACACTGGTAGGTATAATGGTATTAATAATCAATGGTATTATGCTTCCCCCCCCTAATTATATCAATTATAATTACCGAAATATCTCGGGTATACTCAAAGTTATAGAAACTCTATCGGCAATCGAATTGGAAATTGATTCGAGTAGACGTTCCATGTGTTTTTTCCGGCTAAACAAACTTGATGTTAACCACATTAGATTTAAATTGTTGTACAGTGGTATGAAGTTTTCTACGATGACTGAAAACGGTGCGTTAATGATTGACTGAAAAAAAAATAATCATATTATGGTGTGTACCTTTAATAGTATTTAAAATTAAAATGTATAATGATAAGCATAAAGCAGGTAAGTGTGAGTACATCAATTCCATCGTAAATCAATTCCATGAAATACATGGTGTTTCGAACAGTAGTATCATACATTATTTGAAAGTCGTTTTTTAATTCATTAAATCTCATCAACGTATATGAAACAATTTGGCTGTTAACAATTTGTTCCAAAATATTTATGCATTTTAGCACTATTTTGTCGGTCAACAGTTGTTCCAATATCTCTTTGAAGTTATTATAACGTTTTTTCCAAAAACCGTATTCTTTAATTGCGGACGCGTATTGAATTTTTCCTCCCTATAATAAAATATATATTCAATATTCGAATTCAAAATGATTTTGCAAATACGCAAACAATTAAGTTTCATACTTCATACATTTATTAAACTTATCGTAAATATTTTGATTAGACTTAATTAAAAAAAAAATATAAACAAAATATTGTTGGGTATCCTACCATTATGTCTTCGACAAAATTAATTTCTTTCTGTAATGATTCCATCCATGAATTTGTTAAACTTATTAACTGATCTATTTGTTTCGTATCTAGGTCTTTCACATTTGTATTGTTCTCAATAAGCAATGAGAGTTCATCAGAAACAACCAATTTGCCTGTTAAACTAAATAGGCAGTGTATTGCTAATGCAGTGTAAAATAATTACTTTAATTATAAGTATAGATAGGTAGGTACCTAGGATTGTGTAAAATAAATAAAATATTTGTAGAATTGAATTTTAATTGTGTCACCCATGAGTTTTTATTTTTAAAAAAAAGGTTTTAATAAGAGGTTTTAAGAGACACCTAGCTAGTAGATTTGTCATCAGCCTCTACTTCTGAAGATATTTTATAATAGGAATATTTGTATGAATATTTGTATTATTATAAGTTTTTTTTTACGTTAATTAGAAAATAAACAAATATACATAAGCTTAAATGATATAAGAGAAGGTTTAACAGAAAGGCTGTAGAATGTAAGAGAAACCGCCCACTGACGACACTCTTAGATTTAGCTTATATTCCTACAAGTAATACATTTATTTTTCTATTATCTATTAATAATTTAATAGGTTGAACTAATTTTAATAAAACCATCGCATATATTAGGTACTTATATCGTACCTACCTATATCCCATTATCATTAAATTTTAATATTGTTATAATAGGTACCTATTTATAAACTTATACATTATAAGTCAAATAGTCAATATACCAAACTACCTATTGCAAAATGGTTTAAATAGGAGTGTGGTATGAATAGATTCAAATAGGTAGGTAGGTACTAGGTAAGTCTAAATATATTAAAAATCATTTTTTTTTTATTTCTGTTGATAATATTTTTGTTTATTAGTTAAAAGTTGGTCTTAGAGCATTACATACAATCACAAATTTTTTTAGTTAGGTATACTGTAGCTGTATTATAGGTAGGAATACTGTATATTATCCATAATTATAGACATTTGGAGTTCTAATTTTGAAAAAATTGTATATTTAAACAAAATACAAATTTCAATTCAATCAAAACTCGAAATGATTAAAGTTTGGTGTTGAGAGAATAACCGTGAATGACGTAAACCGTGATGCTGAACAAATTTAGCAACATATATTACAAACGACGGATGGAGATGTAAGAATAAGTCTTAAAAAAAACCAGGCAAAATATGAGCAACTTGTTACTTGACAATGTTATATATCAATGGTTTATTGAAGTTTTGTACGACGCCTATTTCTTAAATGTGGGACCAGCCACCACTGAACTGTCTATGCCCTATGGTACCTATAGGTATATTATGTGATACGCCGTTACCTATTGATTTGACTTATTTATTCAGTTTATAATAATACTAATAATATATTATTATAATAAACAATAATATGACGGGGACCTTGTGTGTCTCAGTCACTAACGTATTATGTCGTGAAACATCGGCCGGCGTTCCCGGATGGGAAACCACCTGTGACCTGTGTTTTAGTGATGAATCCTCTCCCCACGCCACCACATACACGTGTTCCTCAATTAACCGCAACCCCTCTACAAAATGATAATGGCCATAGGTAGTTGCCGATGCTTGGATCAATAATAATAAAACAAAATATGATGGTATATGTATATATTATATCTATGCAATGTTTTTTACGTTTTTTCAAACATTAGTTCCATATACCGTATTATTATATTACTCTATTATACTACTGATACTTTTCACAATTACATAGTATTTATATATTATTATTTGCTATGTACCTATAATAAAATGCATTATGAAATCATTTCTAATTTTAAGCTATTCATACCACTAACTTATTCACACCATTCTAAGGTGTTGACTTATTTATTTATTTATATCTACGGGACTAGCGTATAGGAATGTTACTATAAATGTTGATATAATATCTAATCATATAATCTAAAAACAGTGAAACCCATCTATAACGGGCATTATATCCGATATTAAGGTGTGCCTATTATTAATGGTAGAGGTTTTACTATAATAACTACTGTAGTTAAGTGTAGTGACTTTACCTTTCAACTGAAGATGCCTCGTCGAAACTGATCATTTCGATATGGTAGGTAGAATGGTTTTTAATAATTTTAAATAATCAGAATGAATCTAAGTTAAATGTTATAACAAACAATATTTTATTTCAATACATGCAACAGTATAAATATTATATATGTTAAAAATAAATATTGAAAAGTATACTAACCAGATACATTGTATGGAACCTTCAATAATTTTGTACTTTTATTTATACGTCCTTATCTCGTTTAATAATCAATATACATACATAGACACGTCATAGTGATCTATTGAACCAGCTAGTTGGGTAGTCTTATTAATATTATGTATACTCAGTCAATATTTGTTTTACAATATTTAGAATTACCACTTACCTAGCCACCAAGGTACCTACTATTATATTACTTATTATTAACATTATTTATCATTAGTTGTAAAATTAAATTAAAATTAAAAAAAATATTACGATATAAATCTAATAACAATAAAAAAGATTCAGTACTTGTACCTGACTCGACAGAGCAACACGTGTGTTATCCTTTATAGCTTCGATAGCAAAACCACAGTCATATCTTATAGCATCGATATCATTTAATATGATTATTATATAACTATACATCCAACCATCTGCGGCAATTTCGAAATTAATAGAAATACTTCGGGCAAAATTCCCTCCCCACCAAACCTCAATAGAACAAACACCTTACCAACCCTCAAAGAACAAACACAAATACATCAACTAACAATTCCAAAATTGTTACATCACCTTCAACCAAATCAAATCAATTAAACTCGCGAAACTCATTAACGCAAAGTACCTGTATCGCAAAGAACACCTCTCCACCTGCCTCCCACTTCCCAGCTACCACGACCACGACCGCAATCAACGCCGATAAACTAATTACACCAACCAGATTTCCAGCAACAATATAAATAATTCAGATAAAACCATTAATTTCGCTAGTATTACAGAAAAGGAGACTACACTTAACAGAGAACAAGGTATAGTATTTAATTCAATTGACGGAGTTCCACAAAAAGATTACATTTTAGCTATCGGCCAAATCGTCCAACCTAGAAACATACTATTTGTCTCAAGAATTTCCAACAATAGATTCTGTATATTCTTAATCAGCAAAGAAATTCTAGGATCTCTTCTGGCTAAAACACAAGTAATAAATATAAACAGTCAAGCAATACAAATACACAGACTACTAAATCTAGCTAAGCGTATAGTAATATCTAACGTATGCCCGTCTATACCCAATCACGTAATACTTCATTCCCTAAACAATCTAGATATATTCCCCACATCACAGATTAATTACCTTAAAACTAGAATTAACCTAGATGGCTAAGTTTCCGTAGACAAATGTATATCGAGCACGAAGACACGATAAAACTCAACGGATCACTGATCTTAAACTATGGTAATTTACGTTTCTACGTAACATTAAAAGTCATCCCAACAGGTACCAAATTTTGCATAGTATACTGTAGGTAAGCGATAAACAGATACGCCAAATAGAAAATAGGAGTTCACTAGTTATTTGTCGATTGTATGTTAATCAGCCCATGGAAGGTATAGTGACCAAAACTGAAGGATAAATAAACTTACAACTAATCATTGTTGGTTCAGTGAAAAGTAATATTCAGAATAGATTAGGAAATTCGCAAATTCACGGTTTAAATGCGGGTTTAAATCGACTTAGATCAAGTAGTAAGCCAAACTTCTTAACACTATATTCTACACACGAATCTGAACATCAATGAAGAACAACAACCCCAAATAGCCTCCGTCTAAATCAATTAGAAACCATGGAAGCTGATACTCACGAACAACACATCATAACACCACCTCAAACCTTGTCTAATACCGAACAAATCCTTCAAACTGTGTATCCCAGCAACTTCAATCAAAGCAAAAGAAGCCAAAAATAATATCTAAGTCTAATTCTTCAACAATTACTGACGACGACACCCCCGACGATTCCCTCAATTCGGCCCAGAAATTATTCTACGTTGATAAACCCTTGCCAACTACGGCAAGCTGAATCAACAGCCATCAACGCAGCCATTTCCTATAAGTACCTGACATCGACTCACAATTGAGTAAGTTTGCAGTTTGCATATTCACGATTTGTCAAACGGATTTTTACAAATTCAACCGCCGAAGGAAATGAAAGAAAAACGGTGTTTGTTAGGTTCGAGAACATGCACTTCGGACTAAAGGGCGCACTGCAACTTTTCAGAGGCTAATGGGCACCGTCTTCAAGGATTCCAGTGAAGGAAAAATTTGATTATGTGCGGATTACAAAGTTACGGTAAATAAGTTTGTTCAGGACCTAAAATATCTGTTAAAAAGAATCGTAGACATTTTTCAAAAAGTCGAACAATGAACATCTTAACGTGGAGCACCCACAACAGATAGTTGGGGGGGGGAGATCCTAGCTGTTATCTTGTGAAAAAGAGCATATGTAAAATGTAAAGAATTGTAAAATAATTAAGCATCTTCTATGCATCGTCTATAAAAACTACTATACCGGTAATTAAACATACTTCCTGAAGTTTGATGTAATTTCGAAAAAATGGTTGAATTTGTAAGTTCTTAGACTATGCTTTGTACCACTTTTTTGATATAAAACCCAAAAAGCCCAAAATAAATACAAATGTAATGCAATTATTTCATGAGATTTTCTGAAAAAATATCCAAATTATATGGTATTTTAAAATTGAAAATTGAAAATCAACTTCATGGAAAGCTTAGTTATTTTTCCAAAGAATTCATACATATATTAAAAATTAAAATCTGGCATTCGGAAGTATGTGTAATTTACCACCGCTTATTGGTCTAAAACGTACGAAAAATACGTGTGATGCTATCCCCTTAATTATTAATTATTATAATACTGAATATTATTTTCTGGTTTGAGTGGCGTTTACCGAGTGGCACCGACTCACCGACGGACAGGGCCACCACGAATTTTTATCGCTGCAACATGAATTGTATTTGTCAATGGCCCATTTCCGCCTCCCCCCCCCACCTGGGTATACCACCGGAACTTTACCGACCGTACAAGATAGATTCATAATAAGTTGTTCATAATATAACAATCAAAAAATATTGAAATACATATACATATATTATAATACACTAGCAGTCACGCCCGACGTTGTCCAGGCCAAATATTTGTATTTTTAATAAATTATATATTTGTACAAAATGTATATACAATATATTTTCTTCTAATTATGATATTAATATAATAGGTATGTAACGAATTGAAATCATTTAGATTGGCCAAAAAAAATTTCTTTTTTCGTTTGCTAAAAAAACCATGTGTGAGGTAACTCATAGTAGCTTTACCTATCTACAGCCGGACAGCCTATAGGTGGGTTTCCACTATACACGTGCGTGTACGTGCATACAAATAATTTGCTGTGATTGGTTGGTTAGGATCAGTTACCACACGATTAACCACGATACCGTGTTGTTGGACATAGCTGAACATTTTTCGGGTATACGGCAAACGTGTAGGTATAGTGGAAACTATACAAAACTGGAAACTATGTTTTTGAGTTACAGCGATGAGTGAGTCAGTGGTATTTGGATTTTATATGTATAGATTACTATACTCATTGATTCAAAATTAAAAAACAAATATCATAATTTATTGTTATTTTGTTGGCCCCTATACCTATATGCGTCTATGCACATTGCACGTCTGTATTGTTGTGATTTGATGTATTTGTGTACCAAATCTTATAACGTATTGGTACTTGATCTTAACAGTAAACCTTTTTAAATAACAATATTTCCAATAGTCGAATACTCTTATTTTATATCCATTTAAATTAATATTTTGTTCAAATATCAAAAAAGCATTAATAACATAACAAGAGATTTATTATACTGTAATATAGTGTGATTTTGTTGTAAATCTAGACACGCGGTAGCGTGTCAAGCCAAGTTCTAGCTAACAGAACTGGCGAGCAGCACCGTGTGTAATATTACACGAACCATTTGGAGCCACTTTTGACCCCCTCATAACTCAAAAACTATTCCACATAAACATGTCAAATTTGGCTCATATATTGAGACTAACGAGATACATATGTGCTCTAAATTTCATAAACACACTTCAAACCGTTATTTAGATATTAACGTCCGAAAATCGTCATTTTTATCACTGACTTACCTATAGATCAAAATTCTAACCCAGTTCCAGATGACCTAGAAAGTTCAAATTTGGCATACAGATAGGTAGTTAGGTAAATACAAAGGAAAAATCAGAAACTTGAAAATTTTTAATTTTTAATTTTTTAATTTTTAATTTTTTAATCAATTGATTTTATTATAATTTTGCAATTATTTTATCTATTATGTTTAATTTTTCAATTTATTAATGAATTGCCTCTAATTTAATGTAATGTTGACTTAAATAACCTTTCCCGTATCGCCGCTCCAAAAATACGACTAGCCGAATATGTGTCGGTATTGTCGACCCGCGCGCAGCGACATACTTTTTTTTCTATCTATGTATGTAATTAATATTATTTTTTTTAAATATTACAATTAAAATAATTAAATAATTATTTTTACAAATTATGAATTATCCACCCAACAGTAGAAACAACAGTCAATAAAATTATGATAATTAAAAATATATTCAAAAAGAGTTAAAATAATTGTATATTAATTTTCCATATATTTTATACTCTGTATATACAACGGAAAATATTTTATAATAAATATTATTATTAATATTAGTAACTGAATTATATTATACAGTAATAAACTTTATTTATAGAATACGTCATGGCTAGGTTAGGTTAGGTTATAATAATTTACATACAAAAAGTAATGATATCCCACCAAAAACATATATGTAAAATGAGAGCCAAGTTCAATACTATAATATATGCCTTGGTTGTTGACTTCAACGACAAAAGAAGTGAGATCTAAATGGGTGCCAAGTTAGGATAATATATTGAAGCCTAAGGTCTGACTTGGCTACGAATTATATATTATAGCATTTGCAAGTTCTAAAGCTTTGAGTTGGTTCTTATTTTACTCTTCGGAAAATCATCTTCACTCTTCCATTGCTGTTTTAGTAGGTACTTATAATAATAATTCGTATATGAAAAGTAGCCAAGTCACACCTTAGGCTTCAATATATTATCCTAACTTGGCACCCATTTAGATCTCACTTCTTTTGTCGTTGAAGTCAACAACCAAGGCATATATTATAGTATTGAACTTGGCTCTCATTTTACATATATGTTTTTGGTGGGATTACAATTTACAATTAAATATTAATATAATCGAATAATGATTTCAACCATAATATGTTGTACCTACCTACCTATGCAAAATCACTCGACCACTTTATTAGTGAAAACAGTATTAAAATAAGTAGAGTTCTTTTCGAGATATACTCGTGTCTCGTAAACAGTGGCGTAATTTCAGTTTTTATTAGACTAGGGCAACTTTTCACTGCTTTTCCGACACAACATTTTTTTCAAGTAGATTCTCATAGCATAGTGCCATAGTGGTTAAGGACGACTTAAGGTTGAATCGGAGGGGAGAGGTGGTAAATGTGCCGACTTAAGGTTGATGTAAATACCAGACTGGGGCATTTGCTAAATGGCTAAATGTAAAAATAAATGTATGATAAATTAAATAATAAATACAATACAGTGGCGGCGCTAGGTTTTGCGGGGCCCGGGGCAAGTAAAAAATGTGAGGCCCTCTGGCCCTCATTCGTATCTTATACATTACATCCCAATTCCAAATTAATTATAGATTTAATTCAAAAGATAATTTTGTCCATCGATTTTAAAACCAAAAATTATTTTACATTAAGTAGGTAAGTATGTAAAGAAAATCAAAACAATCAATGATAAATGTATAATCATATTATTATTTGCATAGAAAATAAACTAACAAGTTAAGTTAAAATACTAGTAGATAAGTAATAACTTATATTTATAAACAAAGTTTAAAAAAAATGAGTGTGCTGAACAATTAACAATATTTTTTTTTTATTTTTATTTATATTTTAAAAATACATAATACATTGTTAAAGCAAAATGTTGTCAGTTATAATTCTTTAATTTTTCTAGCTTTTTTAGATGCAAAATCATTTATTATATCTTCATAATTTAGTTGTTCTGATAGTTCTTTTTCTATACGAATTGTAGCAAGTCCAGTAAGTCTTTGTTGTGACATGGTACTTCGTAAATAAGTTTTTATAAGTTTTAATTTTGAGAATGTTCTCTCTGCTCCAGCTGATGTAAGCGGAATTGTTAACATAATTCGTAAGGCAATATTCAAGTTGGGAAATGCGTTCGGTTTTTTTTATGTCAGAAAGTACTTGAAGTGGTGTAGTATTTTTATAAATTAAATGGCGGAAAATTAATATTTCTTCGTATAAATCATAATCGAAATTATTTTACTGATTGCTAAATATCGATTATTTATATAATTATATATTTATTATGACTAAATAAGATACCAGAAATATAAAATTGACCGTAAAATTAAAACCAGTCTTGTAGTTAAGACTTACAGATCAAGCCGATTTAATATTATTTCAACGAAAACAATAGTATTTTTATTGATGCCAAATTGTTGTGAAAAATAATTAATAAAGTGAATTTTGTGGTATTTAAATACAAGTATTTATATTATGTTAAAAATACTCTTATAAAGTATTCAGAATATTTAAAAAATACTTTAAAAACATTGTATTTAGAATAGGTACCAAAAAATACTTCAAAAAGTATTTTAATACACGTATTGAAATACTTGGAATCGAATACTCTACAAGACTGATTAAAACAAATAAATTATAAAATTACTTATTTAAGATACAAAGAGCTATGTTGAAATATTTATGAATTTTTTTAATGGCAGTCAGCACTCCTGCTTCGCTATCTTTAAAATGAAGAAGTAAAAATATAAAATAAATATGTTCTAATGTTATATGAAACAAAAATTATACGTCGTCGCCCGTCGGCTGTCACTCGAATTCTCCTGATATGCTGGAATCCGATAACAAATCTACCCGTATCACTAATCTTTATCGAATACTTTACGTATTTTATTCATATCTCTCGTAGAAAGTAGCCAGTAGGTAACTATTAGTATATTTTATATATTAATATATTATACCTGCACATATTATTGGCTACATCAAATGCGATTAGCCAATAACGACGATACAACCTTCGAGCATTTTAGTTTTAACAATCATTATAAACAACTAAAATAAGTCGGTAGAACGTATAGAAATCAACTTAAATTCAATGTGATACATAGGTATTTTGGGTAATATACTTTTTGTTGTTAGTATACCTAATAGTATATGTTGTGTATACCAAGACTCGTGATCAAAAATTAACTTAATTTATGTTTTTTTGGTTTCATTCAGGTGGGAGCACTATAAATATCGGGGCCCCGGCGGGGCCACAAAATCTCGGGGCCCGGGGCACGTGCCCCGCTCGCCCCGACGATTGCTCCGGCACTGATACAATATATAGGTACCCATTTATGAAATTGCATATTATGTTTATAATTAGTATCTACTTCACATTTATTATTCGTTACATTATTTAATAAAATGTATCACCAGTTTTCATTTTAATTGAATTTTCCATTGTTATATCTATTCATTATTGGCTGGCAGCGGTTGTAGAAATGGTTAAAAAATAAAAATTTGGAACTAACAACCTGATAAATATTAATTTGAATCATTTTTGTTCCAGGTAAAATGAATCCACAATAACACTGAATACATTATTGTGGCCTATTTCTTTTATAAAAATTAAATAAAAATAAATTTTATTATTTAAATAAAATTAAGATTTAATATCATTTTTGATAAATTATAATAGTTTATTGTCCTTATTATATAATGTAGGTAGACCACATAGGTACTCAATTATAGCCTTTTAATTTCATTTACAAAATATCTGTAATAATATATGTAATTGGCTGGGCCTGAAGATTATTTAAAATGTTTTGAAGATGATTAGATGTTATTTAATTTCCCTATTAGCATCCCTTAATAATATGAATCGACAATGTATTGTATACCTGTTTAAATATATTTATTACTTATATTAAATGTATGATCATAAATTCTATCATGTAGGATATTATACCGATAGTAAAATATTGCCCTATACCCGCCGCAGAATAAGATCATGACTGCGCGGCGGCGGACCGTTTTGCGTCCGTTTCACACAGCCGGTTTTTGATTGGTTCCCCGAAACCCCTGGATGTGTTCGCATTGACAAGCGATACGGTGGAAGAAGTTGATTTGATTGCGCGACCAGTCATAATCTTATTCCGCGGAGGGTATACTTACTACTAGCGCTTTACGCGTGTGGTGAAGATTTGAACTACTGAACCGTTACACAATCTGACTGAGTGAAGGGCCGGCGATAGCTGCTGCTAAAGTGCTAACCTCTTAATATCTTAAAAGTTACTCTGGTTCACCACATTACCAAGGCTTATAGATAATATTATCTACAAAATTTGAGTCCTTTACAACAACGATGTAGAAAAGATATCTTGCTCCAGTCCCCTGATAAGATAATTGTACTCAATTGTACCTACTTAAAACACGTGAGTCGTTGCACAGTCGTTTCGTATATCAATTTCGGAGGAAATGATGACGGCTTCCTCGTAACGTGTTTATAATATACTTGTATAGTGGAAGTCTGGACTCGCTACTCATCAAGACGATTCGCGAAGTTCGAATTCGATGGCCATAATAACAATCTGAATCGACCTAAGTACGCGTCCAAGTCATACTTTACCGTGGCGTGATCGTGTCATTAAAATTTATCGACCATTATTTATGTTAAAATGTCCAAAGTTTGTGTTCTGTGTGTGAAACCATTGATCAAATGTCTGAGGTCCAGGATATCTTTGCACGTGTAAGTCTCGTTTACAACATTACCTACCCTAGCTTTGGGGACAAGAACACACCTGACTAATCAGTTGTTTTGTGTTAGATTTCCAGCGTGTCCGAAAAAACGGCAGATATGGCTCAACCAATGTAGATTAACGAACGAAGAAGTCTTACCAAACCGTAAAATATGCTCATTTCACTTTGAGTCAACATGTTTCAAATCCAATGCAAAGAAACGCATACTTCACCCTGATGCTGTACCAACAATTTTTGTAAATAGCCATGTCAAAACAATTGTGAAAGGTACCTACCTACTATACATTTTTCTTCCAATATTTATAATTTTTTTTTATTTTAATATAAGCGTAGTCTGCAATACAATAAATGGTACCTAAACCTTCTAAAATCAAATAAAAGTAATAATTTATTACTGAATATTGAGTGTTTAGGTTTTAGTTGTAATAATTACCTAATTTTTATTAATTGATAATAAAGGCTTTAAATGTTTTAAATGTTTGTACCAATGGGTAAGTACTTTTTAGATTCAAAAAGTCTTAATGAAATTTGGTTTGGAACCATTGTACAGAACAATCATTACATAATTTTGGGCAAGTATGATATCAATTTTCAGTACTTTGTTATTAAGCATTTATCGGTATTTCCTTTATAACATCAGGAAGAAGTTATTATTCCCTTAATTACTTCAAATTGTGTTTGAACTAGATTGTACAAAGGAAATTTAACAAACCTTGCTGTACATTTGTAAATGTTTTAAATAATGTTATAAAAATGTCATTGATAGATATATATAAATATAAAAATAATAATAAAAACTAGAGATGTTCTGGGTACCCGGCAATTACTCAATGGCCGGGTACTCAATATCATATTTAAGATTCGGCATTTACTCGGTACCCAGCTTAATATCTACATTTTTACCCGGCCCTTACTCGGTACCCGGAGAAGTACTACATTTTTACTTGACTCATATCCCATAAACTATTGATAAATATATGCATGCCTATAATTTATTAACATAACTGGAAAAATCTAAAATTACTATTTATTAATTTATTATTTTAGTATTTACATTTGACTTTTTAGTTACAAATTACAATATTCATTAATTATGCAATATTTTTGTCTATTGAGCAAAATTGTACATAGCTATTGTTTATAATATCTAAGCAAATGGTATTAGTGTTACACTAATAGTGTACTTAATTTGTGTTATTGTTTGGTTTATAGTATATGCTCAGATTCACCTTTTATTAGTTTTATTTTTTTTATAATTTTTATTAAAATTGCAGATACATCCAGTGGCCAGTACCAGTACTGAGTGTTTAAACTGTTTAAAGACTTAATTAATATTATTAATAATTTCTTAATCAGTAATTTTATTGTTAGTTGATACTTTGTTACTAATATAATATCCATTTTGTATTTACATTTATACTCAGCCTATACTATATACCCGGTTAGTACCTACTAAAAGTTTTACTCTGCCAACACTCGATACCCGGTTAGTATAAAAAAATTTTACTCAGCCAGTACTCGGTACCCGGTTTAATACCAGATTTTCTACCCAGAACATCTCTAATAAAAACCAAAGCATGCCACTAGATATTTTTCCTCTGCAAGGAAAATTGAGGAATCATAGATTTGTTTTTGGGTATAGTGGAAATATATCTTCTAGCATGATATATTTTGTAAGGAGTTAATTTAATTAAGAATTATAGATTGATTTTTAATATATATTTATATTTTTCTTTGTGTTTTTATGGTTATAACTAAAGCATAAATAATCCAGTTATTTCGACAACTAGAAACAATACAGCGGTCTTAAAGTGTATATGATTAATTTGAAAAAAAGTACAAAGTTATACCTGTTTTCTTGGACTTCTCTATAGCTTTTTACAAGTAACCTAATATTAGAGCAGATGTTACCAAGTTTTAGGATTAACAGTAGTATTAATTTAAGTTTGCTCAAAAGTTACTTTTAAATAGAACTCAATGCTTAAAATAAATTATGTTACAGGTAGGTAATCAATGTAACATAGAAAAGGTAGTTCTGTAGGTCCAATATTATTTATTTCATACTCAAATTCGATATTTAGTTTGGTAGCACCGTAATATGCTAATTTACTTTTCTCTGACAAATCATGGAAATATGGGGTACATTTTAAAGCTATAGCTGGATTGATTAAGATATATTTAACAATTACCAGAAATCTAACTTTAAATAAGGATAAAAAAAAGTCACCGACCTAACCGCGAATCCAAATAGCGAATGTCAAAATAGCGACGGCAAAATAGCTAAATATAAAATAGCTATAAGCCATAATAGCTAATGTTCAAAACAGCTAAAGTATATTAAATTATTTAATTAAGTGGGTCACTGTATAATGGATTGCATTAAATTTGAATTCAATGATATAATATCATTGTATAAGAAAACCATTCTGAGCAGAAACGGTTAGTCTAGGTATAAGACATACTTATCTATGGTAGTGTGTTACCAGTACGTGCGCGGGAAGTTAAACTTCTTTTGAATGGTACACGTGAGTGAGTGAAAAAGAAAGAAAAAAATATTAATTAATTTAAAAAATGAGAAGAAGTATCCGGAATTATTTATTATTGATAGTTTTATTATTTTTTTTATATTTTTATTCTACAGATCGATGGATAATTGTTTGTAGTATTGTTTTTATCCAGAAAATAGATTTGTGAGTGAATACTAATAATAATAATAAAAATAAATAATAATCGATCATTAATTATTCATATTAATTAGTATGGCCCGATTATAATATATAATACTAGCTGATCCCGTGCACTTCGTCGCCCTTTAAATGTATCAACTCAATATGAGTTATGACTCAAACTTTGTTCAATTCGTTATTCAATATTCGGTGTATGGTGTTCAAAATTTATCTTATCTTTTCCGTTGCCCGGAATAAAAATTCTGAATCGCAGCAGTACATTATCAGGTAGGCAATCTACCTGCGGTAGATCGCGGACCCCGTACTGTTTGTACGGAAGTGTATGATTTAACTCTAAATTATCAAAGTTATACCAAGTTTATTTTGATATAATACGGTGGATTAATATAACAAATTTGGTTGCTCGTAAAAAATCACAACTCTTAAAAAAATGATGATTGTTGAACTCCTTTTGGGTGTAACTTGCTGAGGTAAGTGCAACTCAGCCACCCTGGTAGGCAATGTTCAATAATGATCAAATACCTGATCTGCCCGAATAACCAATGACAACCAATAAATAAATGCTAATTTCTAATGTAGACTGTAACCAATGGCAACTATTAATAAATAAAAATAAAATTTCCAATTCCCATCTTGAATCTCAATGTCCCTGTTTGAGCACCTATTTAAAATGTGAATTTCGAAATATCCTTTCTTAGCGCACGTCTACATCATAATAGCTAACTGTATGCCAAATTTCAGCCAGATCCGTCCAATGGTTTGAGCTGTGCGTTGATAGCAGTCAATCAGCTTACTGTTTTATATATACAGATATATATGTATATATATATATATATATATATATTATAATATATAATAAAACAACATTACCATGACAATATTTATTTATTTACGGACATGTACGCTTTCGCGTTCGTACGCGCCGCCCGTTCGCTTTTTTTTTTCCTCACTACCGTGCGTAAAGAAGTATAACTTCAAAAATTGAAATATAATAGGTTATGTATCTATAGTTATTCGTTTATAAATAACAACAAAATAAGGAAATCGCTACATGAGAAATTGAGTGAATATCCTATGTTGTAAAAATTTGAATTTCAAACGCTCATAAAAATTTAATTTGACTTTCTTATTGACATTTTTTTTTTTTAATAAAGGTAGATAATCTTATAAGGAATCTTGTATAACAGTTTCAAATGATTTAAAAAGAAAAAGTTTTATGAATTCTTAACTCAAAATAATTTGCTAATTTTCGTGATTTTTCCATATTTTAAATAAAAATGTGCCTAAACAGTTAAAAATAAATCTAAATATTTAAAAATGTTATCGTGTATAGAAAATGCATATTTGAACAATCAGTGAAAATGTCATGCGTCTACGGTAATTTGTTTTAACCAAAAACCAAATTCAATTTTTTGAAAAAACGATGTTGCGTAAAAATTCCCGTTTTTCCTTAATTTTTCTTTTGTTTTTTTCGCCGCTTTTTAAAATTACTGGGAATTTTAAATTTTGACCTCCCCAATGCACCAACGATATTCACTTTCCAATTGAACAAGATATTGAAGTTGAAAATCGAAGCATTATTTCGACTACTTATCGTGTACACAGACACAAAAAAAAATTTAAAAATTAAAAATAAAAAAAAACACATCATTGTAAAATCAATACGTTCATCGTTCCACTGAGAATCTAAAATAAAAATATATTAGGTATTTAAAAAGTATATTTTTTAAAAATTATTAATATTATACTTCAAACATAGTCCATACATTAAATTATATATAAAAGAATTACTCTTATTATTTATCTGTAGTAATAGCATTAAGTTATAAATATACAGATAATGACAATCAGTTTTGTAGCTGGATTATGCAATATTATTATCCGGTCGGACCAGGTATAATAATAAAATAGGTGGATTAGATATGAGCACAATATTCGGCAGCGACAATGTATGTTTAACTCCAGAGTTTCGCAGACCGCAGTTAAATACTTTGTATATTATATAATTTCACAGTTATGTCGTTTAAAAATATCAAATATTTAATTTCACAAAAAAATTAACCACTCGTAAAATACGATGGATTTTTGTAGGCTATAAATGACAAACATAATATAATATTTATTATCCTTTTTTTTTAAATTCTTTTATATTTAATTTGATGTATAACTATGTATGATGTATACTATTAATAATTTTTTATATTAAATTATTTTAAAATTAAATACTTTAGCTGTTTTGAACATTCGCTATTATGGCTTTTAGATATTTTGATATTCGCTTTTTTGGAATCGCGGTTATGACGGGTTACCAATAAAACCGTATTTATACATTTCTCCATCAATAAAACTAAGACATATTTAAATACAACAACAGTACATTGCTGCCGATAGGAAAAACTATTGTTCAAATATTTGTAATAATATAAAAAAAAGTTGGCAAAAATACAATATTTAAGGCGTGACATTCCAAAGTGTACTGCCAAGTTTCATATTGTTCAGGTAAAAATACATGACACATATTATTTTACTATTGTCACTAACTGTGTTATAGCAAACAGTATTGATAATTTGAACTGGTATCACGGAGAGACAGGCCGTCATCCCCCACCCGGGCATGGCAGATACCTACAGGTGCCCACTTAAAAATTCTGCCAAAACAAACACACACGTAGGTATCTGCCATGCCCGGGTAGGGGATGTCGCCATGTCGGCCTCTCTCTCTCAACACATAGCACATATACTAAGACTAACATAATTTTTTTGCAGGAAATAATAGTCAAGTTTCAAATAAAAATTATCACTTGATACTGATTAATATCAATATTATTGTCAGCAGCAAGAAATAAATACACAATACGAGTTATATTTTTGTTTTAGGAGGACCTAAAAATTTCAATAAGAAAGGGATTGTCGGTCAGAATCGTCGGTCTCATGATATACCGTTAACAAGAGCTGCTAAAAAAAGGATTTCCAGTCGAAATTGTGTGTCTCATGAAATTTTACCAACAAACCCTCCTATAGACGTATCTGATCATGTAAAAAGTATTGCAACAAATCGAAAAAGAAAACTTGACGATCATGATGAACCTATCACGGAACTAAAAAATAATAAGTTATCATTTATGTCAATATTGAAACTTGTTAAGATTCAAATGTCATTGGCTAAAAGCATAAAATGATTAACGACTGATAGATATGGAACATTTTTAATCTGTATTTATAATATAACAAACTCTAAAAAACTGCTCCATTTTTTAGCACTGCTATAAGTTAATATGTTAATATGTTGTACAATATAAGACATATTGTGTTCCAAATAATTGTTGGGGAAAAAAATAATTATATTTTGAGGAATTTGTTTAATCTAAGATAAGATAATTTTGCTTTTCTATTTGATATCCGAATATTTTGTATAATAGCTATTTTATGTGGGCCATATGTAGATTAATGCTTTGGAACTGCAAAAAGTTAGGTAAAATTAGTTAAGATATTTGTATATTATAAAGTTATGTTTTTTATTCTATAATTTTACATGGAAATATGTTTATAACACTTTTGCCATTCTTAAATATGAACCTTAATATAACCTAATTATCTACCTTTTTATTGTTAATTTTATAATTTATTAAATGAATGTATTTATTATTATTTATTTTGTATTATTTTTTTTTTTGATTTTTATTGAAATTTTCAATATAATAGGTATGTATGTGAGTATCTGGTTTAATTTATATGAATTATTTTTAAAACTATTACTATAGTATTGTTTAATTATACATCATTGAGTTGAGATTGTATGATTTTTTAAAATTGTGATAACTAGATTGATTTGTAGCTTGATGGTGTAATAGAGCTGTAAATGAATATTATTTCTGGAGTTGTATTTAAATTTACTGGAAATACTGTTCATTATTAATTGTAAATAGATAATACAGATTTTTTTTTTAATTATATAAACACTTTATTGGGAGGACCATTTGCCACTTTAAATAAATATAGCCTTGGGTGTACGGGGCTTTTTTAAATTCGTTTATTTATTATATAGCATTGGTCATTAGTAGAGCCCAGATTATATGCATTTGGATATTTGTACTAAGTGTTCCACATCTAGGGGTTTTTAAAATATCCACGGTTCATTTCACACCGAATTTTATATTGAATATTTGTTCATAAATGCATATAACATGCATATTTAATTTGTTTTTTTAATAAATAAGCTATTTTAATAATTTTTTTTTCGTGATATCGAGGACCGGAGAAGGAACCAAGTTTGCCAATACTTCTCCTCCGGCCACCATCGTTTATTAAAACAAATAAAATACATCCTATTTTTAGTAGTGGTAGGCTAGGCTCCTACTCACTACTATTATAACAACAATGCGGTTATATATAAGACGGTGTAGGAGCCTCTACTCTCCCAAGATTGCCTTCGGCTACATAAAAACTTAACTAGGGTTATAGTTTCCGAGATCCGGTGGTATATCTCCTTCTTCGGTGGCCTGCCGTACTCTTTCCTCTAGTTCCTTTGATGTGAGGATGCTTTCCACCATTCCGTAGAAGAGCCTGAACAATTCCTCAGCTTCTCTTAGGATCACCGACTTTTCGACCTTGGACCGCAGAGGATATCTAGGAGATCCCTGGCACTTGGTTGGTAATCTAGCCGGGTGTTCAGGGGCTCGCGGGACCCGTCCTAATATGGGCACCCAAACAGGGTGTGATCGGCGGCGTCTGAGTTGTCTGAGCACTGCCAACAACGGGGGCTGGCCGCCCTAGCCATTCGGTGTAAATACCACTGGAAACATCTATGGCCCGTGAGTGCCTGTGTCATGTGGAACGTCAGAGGCACCCACGGGACAGTTCTTCCCATCCATCTTCCTACGTCCGGAATGATGCCCCGCGTCCATGAGGCCTTCTCTGTTGCCTGCCACAGTGCGATAGTGGACCTCCTCTCCTCGTGTTTAACGGCCGCTTTCGAAGGCCACAACTCACCGAGCTCGGTTTCAGCGTGTAGTCGATACCTTATTCTACATTTCTACCCCTCTCTAGACCAACCAGGTCTGCCGGCGGTGTGCAGGCCAGAACCAGTGCGGCCTCGTCTGAAATGGTGCGGTAGGACCTGGTTACCCTCAGGGCGGCGGACGGATGAGATTCCTCCTGGTTCTGGCGACGTCGGCAATGGCTTTGCTCCATACCTGCGCCTCGTAGAAAAGTTGGCTATCCACGAATGAATTTTCGCTTCTATTGACCAAGCTATTTTAATTTAAGATAAAAACATTTCATTCATTTTAAAGGAGAAAAAAATTGTCAGTGTCTCCTAGAAGAATATTGTTAAAATATATAATTTTTGCAACACTTCATGAGATTGGAGCACGTATAGATAATATATCAACAACAATAATTCACATACACCCTCATTTCGGCATTACTATGTTGTTACTTAGACGTACGCAACGAATAAAGCAGTAACTCAATTTTACAAATTTTTTAATAACTTATATTTACAGACTTTTTTTTTTTTTTTTGATTGTATTTTATTAAGTTTTCTGAGAGATTTAGACATTGTATTTTAAACAATCAGGAATATGAAAAAATTAAGATTATAAAATATTGCATTTTGATTTTTGAAATACCTATTACAGTTTTAACTATAGTTAAATATTCTTTTGTTACTCATAGAATACCTAGTATCTACTTTCCTTGGTGTAAAAGTGTAGTTTTATTTAAAAAACCACATTTTATAATGTAGGTATAACATATGGCGTATAATTGCATACGAGTATTTAGCCTTTTTTCCTTGCCTATTTGACACTTTTAAAATGCATATAAATCCGGGCTATAGTCATTAGCAGGGCTAGTGAGTTCATGCATTTGCATATCAATCTTGCTAAGTCGTATTTAATGCTAGGTTACATAGAAATCCATTTCAAGGTACTGTGGTTAAGTATGTGAAATTTTATGTTGCATATTTTTGCATATTTAGAGGTTTTTTAACTATTTGGCATATTTATGCGTTTTTCTATTTTATTGTGCATATTTTTACCGAAATTTGATCAAAATGCAATAATTTATATTTTTACACAGTATAAAATATATGGAAATTTTCGCAACATCAAATTATTAAAATAGAGCAGATTAAGTGAGTACAAACGTACGTATACGAATGTATAGGTACGTATAGCCCGCATTAAGCAATTAGTAGAAAACATGTTATATGAAAATAGTCTTACTCTTATTGTCTTATCTGACTTATCTTCTTGATACAGTGGTTTACTGGTTTATTCTAGACTTTAACAATATTTCGAAAATCTTATATATTTTTTAACTTCATTTTGAAATTATTGATCATGCCGAAAAAAAACTGTCATTGGCCTGTAGACTAAGACAATAATTAGTAAATGAATTTGGTGAAAATATATTCTCGGCCGACAATAAAATATTATTTTGTAAGGTTTGCGAAGTAAAAGTCGCGAGTGTAAAACGCTTTAGTGTTGTGCAACATATTAATACTGAGAAACACAAAACATCACTTCACCAACTGCAATATAATAAAATATAACTTTTAATAATATGAACGGAAATTTTTTGTTATTCCAAAATTTACTTATAGTATTTTTATTTTTTAATCTACATGTTTTTAGATTTTTAGTGCATATAAATGCATATTTTTGAACTTTTAAAGGCATATTTCAATGCATATTTTTCCAGCTTTTAGTGCATAAGTGCATACTTATTTAGGCATTTTTTAGAGCATGAACTCACTAGCCCTGGTCATTAGCTAGGGTGCTGCTGCTGACATAGTCTATATCCATGCCTAGCCTGCCTTAAACTATATGAGCTATAATTGTGTATTCTAGACGACCTCAATATGGACTTCATTGACATGGTTCAAGGATATTGTACAACAGAGCATACACATGTGTGTACCATATCAACTGCAGGTTAAACATAGCTGTATTTTTGAATACCTACCTACTTGATAAGTGAGTAGGTATTAAATACCTACTTTTAGGTTGTCATTTTTAACATTCAGTCTTTTCCAATGATAAGCTCATACTAGGTACCTACTAAAATTATAATGGAAAAGGATTTAATCAAAGTTGTAATTCTTAACGAGTTTATGATATAAATTTATTATACTTAGTACTCACAACATGCTATTATTTGTGAACTTTAAGACGACACAGTAATGAGCCAACAAATAACAATATCAATATAAATATGTTTATATTATGCATTGTTAATAAATAAAATTACTTAACTAAACATTTTTTTAGAAATCCATTCACAAAAGTTTATAGAATTTTTAATTAATCAGATTCATAATAGGTAAGTATATGAGGTTATGGCATATGATGTATATCAGTTAAAAGTATAAGACAAATTTATGACATAGGTACTCATTATTCAAGATTTCAAACATTAAAACCATGCGTGTTAAAGTTCTTATATATTTTTGACATTTGTAATAATATAATTAATGAACTATTAACTTATATACCTATAAATAATTAAACACAACTTATTAATACTATTATGAATTGTTAATTGAAACCAAACTAAATCTCTTTGCAACGGGAAACTGAGTAGTGAGTACTGACTAATGCCTATAATGGCTAGTATATTCGTTGGTATATGGTAGGTACTAGGTACCTAATGGCTAATATCACAAAATTTAATTTCTGTACTTAAATACATTAATTTCCGCTTGGGCGTTAACTGTGCTTCTCGCAGTCCGTAATCGAGAATAAACACTGAGCATCAAAATTAATGCTCCGTTGAGTAACCTATATATTATAATAAATCGTGGCCACGGACTAAAATATCACAACAAAAACCCAAATGTATATTACCCAAAATGTAATGGCTAAATAAAAAAATATAAGATCTTTAAGCACTATAAAGATTTGATATCATGAATAAATGCTAAGTATATTGAATTTAAGTAGGTACCTACACTTATTTTGTTTCAATAATTTATTTATTTACTTGGTGAGGAATTATTTCATAAAAGAAATAAAGTTTGATGAACAAAATAATTAAAAAGCGATTACTATTAAAATATAACTTATTATTATTTAAAAAATATCATTATTAATATTTATATACTATTCTAAATAATTCCTCGTCAAGTAGGTAGGTACCTAAATAAATTATTGAATTAAAATAAGTTTACTTAAAT